TTACCATCTTTCTAAATTCCATATATATGCGTTAGTATACTGTATTGGTCTTTATCTTTCTGGCTTACTTCACTCTGTATAATGGGCTCCAGTTTCATCCATCTCATTAGAACTGATTCAAATGAATTCTTTTTAATAGCTGAGTAATATTCCATGGTGTATATGTACCACAGCTTCCTTATCCATTCGTCTGCTGATGGGCATCTAGGTTGCTTCCATGTCCTGGCTATTATAAACAGTGCTGCAATGAACATTGGGGTGCACGTGTCTCTTTCAGATCTGCATTAACCCATTTCTAATGGACACCATTGCATTTCCAACACAGCCTCTCAGGGATGACAGAACTTTCCCCAGTCCTTCCACCCCTGCCTGTTCCACTCTGCTCTGCTCTCTTCAGCCCCATGACCACACATTTTAAGCCTTACATCCTAGGTTTCATGGTTCACAACTAAATTCTTCCCTTTTTCTTATTGAAGCCTGTGACTTGGGTCTTCACATCTCATAGTCTTACAAAGAGACATACTTGAAATAAACACATGACTTCAAAGCCCAGGTCTGCCGCCAACTAGCTGTGTAACACTGGGCTGCTGGCTCAGCCTCTGACAGGGCTTCCTCTCTGGCTCAGCTCGCAGAAGTCCCTCCTGAGAGACTAAGTCCCCCCAGCCTCTCCAGGATTAGGAGAAGGCAAAAGGGAATAAGATGGCTCCTGATGAAGTGGTTCTCTGGACCAGAAGGGTGTTCAGAGGAGCAGCGGGGGTGTCTGAGGCAAAGAGAGGGGACTTGAAGGGAATGGGGGGACACAGGCGATGGTGAGACTTCTCCCAGATGCTGGGACGGGTGTTGGAAGGACTCACACAAAGCTGGGGTAACAGTTGAGGCCCTTTCATTCCGTGAGATGCCCTGCTCACAGACCTGGGTGCCCGGCCCCATTGGCCCCTGCTCCTCGGGCGCTCAGACCCCGCCCTGCCCCGCACACACCCAGAAAGCACAGGCTCAGACCCCGAGAACAGACAGACAGTAAGGACGAACTTGCACAGGGACCACGGGATGGGGAGGGTTCGCCTCCCCTGAGCAGGGGGGCTGTACACCCCCAAAACCTGCAATTAGGTGAGCTTCTACAAGGGTGATGGTGGAGAGGAGGCAGGAGCTGACCCCTCAGGGGACTGAAGAAAGGACCCGAGACTGGACCCCGGAACATTTGTGCATGGAGGGAGGATACCATCCAGGAACAGGGGTGGGCCACCAGGGGCGTGGAGCTGGCGAGAGGGTCAGGGACAGAGGAGCCGGGGTCAGTGCGTTTATCACACTCACCAGCCACGTTTATCACAGCTCCAATGGCCAAGTCTGGAAAGATGACAGGCGCTGGGTGGAAGGAGAGGCTTCCCCAAGGGCACAGAGGCTCAGATGTCCCTGGAGCTCATCCCAGCGGCCAACAAACTCTTAGAGGAAGACAGATTCAGCCTTCAGTGGTTACTGCCTCCTGCAGGGGGCGGACAGTCTTCCTGAAATTGTCCCTCAGGTGGGAGCTGGTAATAGTAATGCAGAAACAATTAAGGATGAAGGATGTGCCCTGGAAACCGGCAGGAAGCCAGGGAGCCGTGAAAGTCTTAGACAAACACAAACCCTCCTAAGGGGTACAGTCATAAGTTTATTACTTGAAAGAAACAGGAGCTTTTTTTCTCAGTGAACACGAATTTCTTCAACCGTAAATTCCCAAGGGGCCAAGCAACAGACACGTCCCAGCCCTCACACCATCAGCTTCCCTTTCGTGAATCCTGAAAGTTATATGATGATTGTGGGGGTCTTGGGAGCTTCAGGCTGGGAACAACCACAGGAAAGTCAGAAGAGGATAGGAGGAGACAGGACGCCGGGGTGACTCTCTCTCACCTGGGAGCTGCAAGGTCCAGAACTAGAAGTCTTTCAGGGAGACTCACTGGCAAAAATCTCCGCATCCCTGTCCTGGGAGCCGCAGGGGGGCCACATTCCAAGTCCGCAGCTGTCAAGCCCACACGCTGGGGAGCGGGGCTCTCGCCCCCTACTGGCGATCTCCCAATCTCAGGAGGACCGCAGTCCAGACACAGGGCATTCCACACCCACCCTCTCCTCTCCTCCCAGGATGAGCCCTCTGAAGAGAGAGAGGCTTCGGTAACACAAGGGGGCTGGAAGGGGCCACGAGTGAGGGCTAATTGTGCAACCTGTTTCCAGCCCCACCTGTCTGCCGTCCCCCTGCTGGAGGGAGCCTCCAGAATGGACAGACAAAGCCTGTCTTCACATCCTAGGGGTCTGACTCGTGGAGGAGATGATATTTGCGGTGGAGAGTCACTGAACCTGTTCTCCAGAAGCACAGAGGAGGAGGAAACTGCCTTGTGGGTGCTGTGTGGACTCTGGCACGGGTTCCAGCCGCTGCTCACGTCCATCAGACCAAACCTGGCTCTGCCCCCAAGGAAGGCATCCTGGAAGAGGAGGTTGGGGATCTCTGAGAGTCCAGGCTGAGGACTCAGGATGGTGTGCATCGCACTTGTTTTTCTTGCTGATCTGGGTCTTTGTTGGTTTCCATGGGTTTTTCCTGGTTGCAGAGAGCAGGGGCTGCTCATTGCTGTGGTTTCCCTTGTGGAGCACAGGCTCCAGGCCCATGGGCATCAGTACTTATAACATGCGGGCTCTGGATTTGTGACTTGAGGGCTCTCGGATCCCATACTCAGTAGGGGTGGCACATGGGCTCAGTCACTCTGTGGCATGTGGGTTCATCGGGGACTAGTGTTCAAACCCCTGTCACCTGCATTGGCAGGGCGGTCATTATCCACTGCACCACCAGGGAGGCCTGTGCTTCGTTTTCAATGCATTTGCTGCTCTGCCTTGTCTGAGATAGGGCCCTTGAGTGACAGTCCACACAGTTGGCCATGGAACCCATCTCAGTGAAGCCCTGCCCCCACCACTTGCATGACCAGCAAGATGACCAGGGCCTGGTAACCTCAGAAGCTCTCTACATTCTGGAGAGGAGTTCTGGGGGTGGGTCCCAACTTCCTGAACATGCACCCCCAAGGCATAAGGTGAATCAATGATGCTTTATTTGATATCAGTTGGTTTTGTGATATTGGGTATGTATGTGTGTGTGTAAACAATAAATTGAAAGTCAGGAGTCTTCAGATTAAGCATGAAGCTCTAGCATGCATTTGAGTAGTTGAAATTTTCTACTATAATTTTGAGGGAAAAAATAATCAATGGAAATTCTTGCTTTTATTTCCTCTTCAGGATCCTATTCCGGCTGAGGTCTACTGAGTTGGCACTGGGCTGATGGGTTAGGCTTGGACACCCTCCACTGTCAACAGATACCTTCAGGCAAGAGGGCCTTTATCTCCCCTGCCCATTTCTATCCTGGGGAAGAAGGAGACTGAGTATAGGAAAGATACATGTGAAGAGGTGGACACGGGCAGAGCAAGGGGGGCTGGAACCCCAGTGTCTCACACCCTCCCTAAAATACGGCTTTTCACAGCTGGATGTGGGTCATAAGGCACAAGGAACAGAATGGAGACTGGACTGCTGACTTCACCTCCTCGGCCACAAAACTTGTCTCTTTCTTCCTAATACCCTTGAATCCTAAGCAATGTCCCAAGAGAAGCCTGGGGTGGAGGTGGCGAGCGAGGTGAGATGGGTGTCCTGGTGATATGAGAAGCCTCTTGTCCACTCTATTTCCCTCCCATGCACCCTCTCCCCACCCAGGACCCAACTACCCCCCATCATGCACCCCAGTGTTGGGTTACAGGGCCTTAGCAGGCTGAGGGTAACACCAGTACACCATGAGATCCACCAGGACACTGGGCAGGTAGCTCATGGGGAGATAGAGGAACTTGGCATCCCAGCCAGGTGAGTATCGGGTGCGGGGGTGGCAGGCGGTCAGGGCGTGCTCCATGCAGTTGGTCACCAAGGACAGATTCTGAGGCCACAGTGGCTTCAGCAAATTCAGTATCTTCAAGACTGTCCAGAAGGAGACAGCATCTAAGTTATTCACATTTTCCAACCCTCCCAATTCCAGATCAACTTGAAAGTTTCTAAAAATTCCTTTCTCTCCCCAAGTCATCCTCCAAATTAAATCAATCGATTTCACTGGCAAGTGTCCCAACACCCCCATATTTCTATCCACACTAAGTAAGCCCACTCTAGAGCTCATCCTGTAGGTGTACTACATAATCTGAAGATCTCTACAAACACTAGAAATTGAGGCACCTGAAACAAAGTGGTTCTAGAACCAGCTTGCCATGGTTCCATGGGTGGCCATCCCCTTGTGACTTCAGTTACCTTCCCCAATAAAAGAGCATTGTAAGAGAAACTGTTCTGGTCTGCCAAGCCTGGATCCTTTCCTTCTGTCATCAGCTGACCACATGGGACCCTGGAGATAAGCTCATGTTCCCAGTGTGGGGGGACTCAGAGCCTGGAGGGTGGACCCGAGACTGGATGGGGCATTAATGATGGACCCAGGCTTCCAGACAAGAGCTGGTTTCTCTCCCCAAGGTCCACAGCTCACTCACAGTCAGCAATGAAATTGTCTCCATAGAGTTCTTTCACCTCTGGGCTGGTCTGATTCCACAATGCCCGGAGACTTTCATGAATATTGCCACCTTGGGTCATATTGGTAATGAAGTAACCAGGCTCAATCATAGCCACCTTCACTCCGAAGTAGCAGAGCTCCCTCCTGTAATACAGACAGGATGAGGGGCAAGGACTCGAGAGGTCGTGCAAGCAGAACATGAAAGAACCGTCAGATGCCAGTACAGGGCTGGGTGAGACGGGCTGGGAGCTCTCAGAAGTTGAGAGGCACAGAAGCCGGAGAGAGAAGCTCATGGTGATGTTCCTGCTTCTCTATAGAGTTTGACCATTTTCCCAATTGTTTTACACCTGTGCCTGTCAGCTCTGCATCCTACCAACTGTGCTTCAGAGCATCACTGAAATGCTGCCTCCTCCTGTTCCTCTCACGCCAATCAGTCACCACGTCTGCACATCCTGTCTTTCCATAGTCCACGTCCCCTGTCTCCCCTCTCTCACCCCAGTAACCCCTCTGTCCTCTAAGGAGCATCCCCCTGCCTGTGGACAGAGCTCTCACACATCAGAGCCACCCTCTCTCCTCAGTCAGAGGTCTCCACCACTGACTGGACAAGGTGGCTCCCTTGACTAATTGCTTCAAGGGGTACACTTCCCCCCAGGGCTCCCAGAGCCTAAATACCGCAGCAGCTGAGCACATGGAAGGCCTGCACAGGCAAAACTATCCATTATTGTGCCTCCAATCATTTCTGACCACAGGCCCTCCTGCAAGGCAAGAATAAGTTGAATCAAACTCTACAGGCCTAGGACCAGCTGGGTGTGCGAAACATAGGAAGGGGTTTCCCAGCTTCCCAGTGAAAGACATACACGGAGCGAGGGAGAGGGACCTGGAAGGAAGCGCCACTCGATCTGCAATGGATGAAAATCTCTGCAGAACCTCCGCCCCATTCCCGGCCCCCGCATCCCCCAACCCCGGCTCAGAGCACAGCAGCAGATGAGAAGAAGGGCCTCCCTCCCAGACCATCACCTGAGGGAGTCCGAGAAGGCCTCCACGCCATACTTGGATATGCTGTAGCCTCCACCGAAGAGCGCCAACCGGCCCATGACGCTGGAGACGTTGACCACACGGCCCCTCGCCTTCCGCACCAGGGGCAGCAGACTCAGGGTCACGTCAATCATCCCCAACAGGTTCACGTCCAGAATCTTCATGAAGTCCTGTTTGGTCAGCCACTGGTTGGGTGCCATGGGCGTGGAGATGCCGGCATTATTCACCAGACCCCAGAGTCCTGGGAAGAGTGAGGACGAGAGGGCAACACTGTGCGGGGCCAGGAGAGAGAACTGGGCCACGGCACCAAGTCTCCTTCAGGCCCGGAAGGACTTTGGGAGAGAGGCCTGGGCCACGGCGCCAAGTCTCCTTCCAGCCCGGAAGGACTTTGGGAGAGAGGACTGGGCCACGGCGCCAAGTCTCCCTCTAACCCGGAAGGACTTTAGGAGAAAGGCTGCAGGGAGGGGCTGGAGCAGAGACCAACACTCTCCCGGGGGCTTGGGGGCGTCCAGACCCCGTGAGCAGTGGGAGGACAGGAGCTGTGCTCCCTCTTGACGCAGTCTTCCTACTCCGCCTCCTCCCTGGTGGCAGAGAACTCGCGCCCCGGAGCTGACTGAGGCAGGCACTGAGCTTAAGGAAGTCTTGTGTGTCCACAGTCTCTAACTCAGAGGGTGAAGCTGTGTCTTTCACAGTCCCTGTTGTCTTTGCAGACACGATAAATATTCCCTAGCTTGTCAGATTTTCTGACACCTTCAGGACTGAGTGATTAACAGCTAGTATAAGGGAAAGGGAGGGAAACAGAGAGAGACAGTGAGAGAATGAGGGCCAGAGAGACAAAAAAGAGACATCGGATAAAAGACAAAAAAAAAGTGAGTATCATATAGCTGCAGATTGTTTGGATAAGTAAGACTTGAAATCCTGGGTTGGGGGGAAATTGTGGATAGGCCAGTAATTGACCTCTAGAGTCTGGGCTTGAAACACCCCCATCAATACTGAGTCATATCCCTGCGGGAATCTGGGGAATTGCATGGGGTATTTGGAGGGGAGGCTGGGCTCCCTCTCTTTACCCATCACCCACAGAACACAGAGTTCACCCTCTACCCCAGAAAACCCCACCCTGTCCTCCCACTAATATAAGGGATCACTCTAGCCCATCTCCTCGGGAAAGATTCACCAGCTTGAAGGAAACTACACTGCGGGAAAAGACACAATCGAAGACACAATCCTAAGGATTTCTTCTTTGTTCTTTTTTTTTAAGTTTTAATTGAAGGATAATTTCTTTAATTGAAGGATAATATTGTGCTGGTTTCTGCGATACTTCAGTGTGAAATAGCCATGGGTATACAAAAGTTCCCTTCCTCTTGAAGCTCCCTCCCACTTCCCATCCTATCCCCTCCCTCTAGGTGATCACCAAGCACCTGATCTGAGCTCCCTGCATCATAAGGCAAATTTCCCCTGGCTTCCCACCTGACATATGGTATTTTATACTGGTGCTGACGAGCCTGTTAGCAGGGCAGCAGTGGAGACAGGGCCGTAGAGGAAAGACTTGTGAACACAGTGGGGAAGGAGAGGGTGGGAGGAATCGAGAGAATCTCAAGGTTTTATTTCGGGTAAACACTTAGGAACCATAAGCCTCAGGGCAGCAAGAGTAGGCGTTCAGGGCTGCTGGGGTAGGACTGCCAGAAATACCCACACAGAGAGCTGAGTTCCCCTTCTGCTCAGAAACACGCCTGCCTTGTAGGAAGAATATTCTCCAACCGTTTGTTATCAGAGACACAATCAAGCTACACGATTATAGTGTAGGGACTTGGGTGAAAAGAAGTTTGTTGAGATATCATTTATGTTGAATATGGCGAAGAAAAGGCAGGAAATGATTATGTATCTTACCATAAAGTACATTTTCATAAGTAATACTATTTAAAAGTTTAGTGTTTGCTCAATCATAACCTATGATGTTTTTGAAGAAATTTTTGAAATGTTCCAAATCTACATACACTCATTCAGAGGAGAGAAAAAGATACTAACACGTGAAAACAGAAGACTATGTACATCAAAATGTTAACATTACTTATCTTTGGGAGATGAACTTGTTTCAGAGTGTTTGGTCTTAATCCCTACACTTTTCTGAGTTTCCACAATGATCATGTAGTAAGATAAGAGAAATTAAAGTTCTTTTCTTCCCTTGCAAAACTTGGGACGATTGTAGTAATAAAAAGAAAATGCAGAAGAAGAAAAACTGAAAAGAGAGAGAGAGAGGAAGTGACCTCAAAGTAGATTTCTGACTTTTTCTGACAAGTCTTGAGAGCACAGTGTCATCCCCCAAAATGGGTGACATTTAAACCCAAGTGGGACGGCAATGGGTAACCAGCAAGAACATGATAAGCAGCTGAGAACACAGCCCAGTTCCAGTCCTGGGCTCCAGCCCCTCAACCACGCCCCCTCCCCCACCTCAAGCACTTTTTCAGGCAGACTTCTCCTCCAGAAAGTCCACCCTGATCACCCTGCTCACTCAGCAGCAAGAAACCCAGACCCAGAGAGGAAGGGACACCAGACAGGTAGTCTGCAAGGACACAGTCTCATCAGGGAAATCTCTCCCCAGCTGCAGATCCTCAAGGTCAGGAGGTGGGTGTGGAGAATGGAGGAGGTTCGGCTGGTCAGCTGGGTGAGGTGAAGAAGGCAGGTGGGACTTCAAATCCAGGAAAATACCTTGAAATCTTCCCCAGGGAGCTGACAACCAGTGTCCCCTCACACAGAGAGAAGAAATAACAAACAAGAAATCCGGGTGTTACCTCTGTCCCCCACACGCTCCTTCACCCACTCAGAGGCCGCAGCGACGCTCTCAGTCTTGGTGACGTCCAGGATCACCGTCTGCAGCCTGCCTGACGTCTGGTTCCTCAGCTGCTCGGCCCCCTGCTCCGTCAGACACCCAGCCAGGACCCTCAAGCCTCGCAGGTCCAGCTGCCTTGCCAGCTTGTTCCCGAAGCCCGAGTCACAGCCCGTGATGAAGACGAACTTGTCCTGGAGGTGGCTCAGCACCTGCCTCTCCAGGTACCAGCGCAGGAGGTAGAACAGGCCCCCGAGGACTGCCAGGTGCAGCCACATGGCTGTGCAGGGGACAGTAAACATGGCTAGTAAACAGGCAGGAGGAATTAAGAACACACAGGATTATGGTTGGCCAACCAGCTTCTGTGCTTTCTGGCATGGAAAGATTTTCCTGTTTACCCTCTTCAGTCAGTATTACTGACTTGAACACCAAAGCATACTCTTGTCACTGGCCAAAATCTTGGCTCTCTCTGTCCACAGAAGCCAAATGAAAAATACAGACAGAGTTTAGAGGAAATAGAAACATGGCTTTCATTCTCAGCCAGTGGAGAGGGGAACACAGTAGGCTCATGTCTCAAGTACTGTGCCCTCCCATCCCCACTCTATGAGGAGTGTACTGCTGCTAAGTCGCTTCAGTCGTGTCAGACTCTGTGTGACCCCATAGATGGCAGCCCACCAGGCTCCCCCGTCCCTGGGATTCTCCAGGCAAGAACACTGGAGTGGGTTGCCATTTCCTTCTCCAATGCATGAAAGTGAAAAGTGAAAGTGAAGTCGCTCAGTTGTGTCTGACTCTTAGCGACCCCATGGACTGCAGCCCACCAGGCTCCTGCGTCTATGGGATTGTCCAGGCAAGAGGACTGGAGTGGGGTGCCATTGCCTTCTCCGATGAGGAGTGTCGGGGCTTACATAAGGCAAAGGGCTCACAGTCAGGAGTCACTGATGAGGAACAAAGGTGATAGAATCTTGATTTCTTCCTCTTCAATTATTTCAAAGATAGTCATAAACTAGCGGCAGCAACCCAGTAATTGAGTCCGGCAGTTTGGCGGCTCTGCGGCCTTCTTTCTGATATGGAACTACTGGGGGAAGGGTGTTTTAAGGGTAAACAGCAAGTAGGAGATGTATTTAGCATAGAGTCAAAGGACAACATGTGAACTGTAGCTCCTAATGAGTTAGGGGGCAGAAAAGCAAACTTAGTTACAGACATAGAGGGTTAGAAACAGTTAAAGTGAAAAAAAAAAAAGCTAGGATTGCCGAGGCCTACTCACTGTTCTCTGTATCTTCTTTGTTGTCAGGAAAGGAAGAGAGAGAAACCCATTCCTCTTTCTTCCCTCTCATGACAACACTCTTTGGTACAGTTAGCCCATTTCTAACCTAAGCCATTATATTTTCCACACAACTTTTTAAGGATGACAACAGTTTTCCCAACCACCTAAGCCTGGTCCTCCCTATCCTCCCGGTTTCCCTCTACCCAATTCTCCCCTCTCCACCCCCACCTCCATACAGTAGAACCCTTACATCTCTGGTTTCATGGCTCACAACTATCTATATACCAAAAGAATATAATCAATCTGATTTCAGTATTGACCATTTGGTGATGTCCATGGGCAGAGTCGTCTCTTGCGTTGTTGGAAGAGGGTGTTTGCTTTGACCAGTGCATTCTCTTGGCAAAACTCTGTTAGTGTTTGCCCTGCTTCATTGTGTAGTCCAAGGCCAAATTTGCCTGTCACTCCATGTATCTCTTGAATATCTACTTTTGCATTCCGCTCTCCTGTGATGAAAAGGACGTCTTTTTTGGGTGTTCGTTCTAGAAGGTCCTGTAGGTCTTCATAGAACCATTCAAATTCACCTTCTTCAGCATTTCTAGCTGGGGCATAGACTTGAATTACTGTGATATCGAATGGTTTGCCTTGGAAACAAACAGAGTTCATTCTGTCGTTTTTGAGACTGCACCCAAGTACTGCATTTCGGACTCTTTTGTAGACTATAAGGGCGGGGCAGTGCCCAGTAAGAAGCCTCCTGCTGGGAGAGACTGACTGAGGGGGAAGCTGGGTCTTGTTCTGATGGGCGGGGCCAGGCCCAGTAAATCTGTCATCCACTTTTCTGTTGATGGGCAGGCCTCTGTTCTTGCCCTTTTGTTTGACCTGAGACCAAAGTGTGGTGATGTAATGAAGTTAATGGCGACCTCCTTCTAAAGGTCCCATGCACGCACTGCTGCAGTCAGCAGCCTCGACGCTGCAGCAGGCCACTGCCAACCCACACCTCCGCCGGACACTCACAGGCAAGTCTGGGTCAGTCTCTTGTGGGGTCACTGCTCCTTCCTCCTGGGTCCTGGTGGCATGAGGTTTTGTTTGTGCCCTCCAATCTGTTTCCCCAGTCCTGTGTATGTTCTGGTGGCACTATATAATCGTTAGATCTGGGCTTAAAGAAAAGAAGTCTCAAGTGACTAAGACAAAACATTGCAGAAAAAAATTTTTGTCCTTTTTTCCTTCCTGAGAGCCCTGGACTCCTTATCAATCTACCTAAGAATTAACTCTCTCACCATGACACTAAAGACATCAACCACATGGCCCTTCGCCTTCTGCACCAGGGGCGGAAGACTCAGGGTCACATCAATCATCCCCAACAGGTTCATGTCCAGAATCTTCACAAAGTCCTGTTTGCTCAGCCACTGGTTGGGTGCAGTTGGCGTGGAGATGCCGGCAATATTCACCAGACCTCAGAGTCCTGGGAAGAGAGAGGGTGAGAGGGCTACACTGTGCTGGGCCAGGAGAGAGGACCCGTCTTGGTGTCAAGTCACCTTCCTACCCAGGGAGGACTTTAGTAGAGAGGCTGCCGAGGGGGCAGCTGGAGCAGAGACCCCCATGCTCCTGAGGGTTGGGGAGACCAGACCCTGAGAGCAGTGGGAAGACAGAAGATGTGCCTCCGTCCTGACTCTGTCTTCAAGGTCCAGCCCTCTGCCTGGTGACAAGGGGCAAGAACCCCAGATAGGATGAAAGGGGGGATGAAGATGAGGAAACCTAGTGAGTCCATATTCTGGCACTCAGAGGGTGACGTTCTGGCTTTCCACAGTTCATGTTGTCTTTGCAGTCCTGATAAATATTCCCCTGCATTTTCAGATTATCTGACAACCTTCAGGACTGAGTGCACAACACCTAATATGAGGGAAAGAGAGGAAAACAGAGATGATGAAGATGGGAGAGGAAGAAAAGAAATCTTGGATAAAAGATAGAAACAAAAAGATGAGTAAAATCTGAGTGCAGATTGGTTTGGTAGAACAGACTTGACATCTCAGGTTTAGGGAACTTGTTGACAAGACTGGTGTTGACCTCTAGGTCTGGCCTTGAAACAGCCACATCAAAACTGAGCTTACACCCACAGGAATCTGGTGATTCTGTCAGGGGCACACACCTGCCTCTATTAACCTGCCTCTCCCAGAATCAATTTACACTTTGACCCAGAAAAACCCACCCTCTCCTCCCACCCACAGGAGGCCACTCTGCCCCTTTACCCACAGTCCACAGGTCACCAGATTCATGGAACCTGTTTGCGGAGCACAGAGACAATACCAAGAGCTTAAAGACTAATCAACTAACAGAATTCAGAGCCAAGATCAAAGTCATGGGAGTTGGGTACAAGCTGTTGTAATCATTAACACACAAATTTAGTCCATCTGCTGCACCGTTCCAAGCCTGCACTTGGAGGAATGTATATCCTCCCACCATATTTGACCAATGATCAAATTAAATCATGTGATTAGAGTGTAGCAAAGTGGGTAGAAAGTTTACCAAGACATCATTTATGCTGAATACAGTAAATAACATGTGGGAACCAATTCCATTCATGCCATGATGTACCTGTGACTAAGCAGTGCTATTCTAAAGTGTATAATATTCTTAATCATTATTTATTTTGTTTTGAAGAAACTTTGGTTCTGTGTAAAATTGTTTGCCTTCTCGGTGGAAAATTAGACTAAATTTATAGGCAAAATGTAACATGAATGTATAAAACGTTATCAGTTCATATCTCTGGGTGGTGTGATTGGTATGACCGTAGTTTTTAATCTGTGTACTTTTCCCATTTTACATGTATTCTAGAATGAAAAAAATTATAGTTCTTTCTTACTCTCTCATGTTATGTCAACACTGTGGTAAAACACACACACACACAAAGAGCAAAACAAAAAGAGAGAGAAAGTGACCCCATCACAGGCTTCTGGCCTCCTTCAATGAGGGCCGGAGGGCACAGTGTCATCACTGAAATTGGGTGACACTGACCGCCAAGCAGGATGACTACGGGTCACCAGCAAGATCATGATCGGGTGCTGAGAACACTGCCCAGCTCCAGCCTTGCCCCCAGCCAGCCATGGCCCTTCCAACCAGAATCTCCTCCAGGAAGTCCACCCTGATCACCCTGTTCACTCAACTTCAAGAAACTCAGACCTTCTTCTCAGAGGGGGGGACACCAGACAGGAAGTCCACAAGGCACATTCCCATCAGGGAAAACTCTCCCCCAAACTACAGAGCCTCCAGGTCAGGAGGTGAGGGTGAGGGATGGAAGAGGCTCGTCTGGCCAGCTGAGTGAGGTGAAGAAGGCAGGTGGGACCCCACGCCCTGAGAAAACCTTGGAATCTCCTGCCAGGAGCTGTCAGGTGGACTCCCCTTCACAGAGACAGGAACCATCTGTCCCACACACACTCCTTCACCCACGGGCTGCTGCAGCATTGCTCTCTGTCTTTGTGATGTGGCGGATCCCCTTCTTTGGTCTGTCTGATGTCTGGTTCCTCAGCTGCTCGGCCCCAGACTCCGTCAAACATGCAGCCAGGACCCTCAAGCCTTGCGGGTCCAGCTGCCTGGCCAGCAGGTTCCCGAAGCCCGAGCCACAGCCCGTGATGAAGATGAACTTGTCCTGGAGTTGGCTCACCATTTTCCTCACCCGGTACCAGGGCAGGTAGAACAGGCCAGCAACACCACCAGGTGTAGTCACATGGCTTTGCAGGGGACAGACACCCAGAGGCTGGCGTGAAACTAGAACCTGGCTAGTGTTCAGACAGAAAGAACTAAGAACGCATATGGTATTGGGTAGCCCATCAAGCTCCAGGCCATCTGGCATGGAGTCCTCAGGCTTATCTTGTTCAGCTTCTCTGCTGGCTATCAATAATTATTAATAATTCTGGCCCCAATACTTGTTTTTTATCTTTTTAATGCACTTGCCCCATTTCTACCAGATGCCTCTGCACTTGCAAAACAGCCCTTTAAGGATGACCGTAGTTTATACACCCTCATTTTCCTGGTTTTCCTGCTCCTCTTTATTTCATTCCAGCCACAACTCCCCTCCCCACCCCTACTCCCACACATACAGAACCCTTACGTCCCAGATCTCATGGATCACAACCATCTTCTTACATTTATTTTATTTACCTATCAGACCTGGATCTCCTAGTTCTTATAAAAGGAACACAGTGAAATCCAGTCCCCTGGCTTCAAACCCAGCTCTGTGGCCAACTAGCCGTAGGACATTACGTAGCTGGCTTAGCCTCTGACCTGGCTTCCTCCTCTGACTCAGCTCACAGAATTCCCTCCTGAAAGTCTGAGTCCCCTCAGCCTCTCTAGGATTGGAAGGAGAAGGCAAAAGAGAATAAGGTCTCTCCTGTTAACAGTGGTTCTTTGGACCAGAAATGTGTTCAGAAGAGCAGTGGGAGTGTCTGAGGCAAACAGGGGCCAAGAAGGGAATGAGGGGACACGGGCAGTGGTGAGACTCTCCCAGATGCTGGGATGGGTGTGCAGGACTCACACACAGCTGCTCCCACAGTTTGAGAGGGTAACAGGCCGGAGGGCAAGGGGTCTCCAAACGGAGGAAATAGGCTGTAAGCGTCAGACATCTTTCATCCCTCTCCTAAGTGGCAGGAGGAAACAAACTAGTGTTATTTTTTTCCCCTTCTCTATGCACATTTAAAAAGAGGTTTCTCTTGAAATTCTGTGTTGCCATAATGACACCTGGTTCCACCTGAACATAACTTTTTTCAAACCTTGAGCTAACCAATGCATTTTTCTTATGGAAATGTTTGTCTTAAGCTATGTTAATGTGCTATGTGTAAATAAATGGAAAAAAAGAAAGAAAAAAGTGCTATGTGTTTACCCTCAACTGTGTCTTCAAGTCGTTTCCCCCTAAAGGCTCAGAACCCACTTGACAAACCAGTATGTTATACCCATACCTTGTTCTCCTAATCTATGTTAATGAAACTATATATTTGTATGGAAATTGCCTTTCTTCAAGATTACTGTCAACCATTTTTTGCCCTTGGATGACTCACCTGGTGCCATTCTCTGAGCTTTGAGACATTTCCTTTCTTTAATTAGCAGACTGCTATTATCTATTTAACATCTAGCTAAAGACTAGCAGCAGGGCACTCTTTCTGCCGCCTTCTGATGTCTATGTCAGAAGCTTTCACTATCTCTTTTATACTTTAATAAAACTTTATTACACAAAAGCTCTGAGCGATCAAGCCTCGTCTCTGGCCCGGGATTGAATTCTTCTCCTCCAGAGGCCAAGAATCTTCGTGTCTTTCGTGGTTCAGCAGCAACCTTTCAAGTTGTTCCCCTTTTAACCCAAGAAGATGTCCTGCTCACGGACATGGGTGCCCGGACCCATTGGCTTCTCCCCCTCTGTGCTCAGACCCCGCCCAACCCAGCACGACAGCCAGAATCCTGACCAGTCAGACACTGAGAAAAGGTGGTCGGAACCCTGAGAAACATTAGCTGGAATGCTAACTCTTCCAAGCAGTGATATCTGTAAACCACAATGATGGAAAGAAATTAGCTCAGTTTGTATGAGGGTGAGGGTGGAGAGGACGAGGGAGCTGATCGCTCAGGAGATTGAAGGAAGGTCCGGAGATTGGATCCCAGAACAGCTGTGCGTGGAGGGGTTCACTGGGAGGCGGAAGATACCATCCAGGAGCGGGGCTGGGCCACGAGGGGTGCGGGGCTGGTGAGAGGGGCAGGGACAGAAGGAGCCGGGGTCAGTGCCCTGGGCATCTCCTCACCGTCCACATTTACCACAGCTCTGACTGCCAGGTGGGAAAGACTACAGGTCCTGGGTGGAAGGAGAGGCTTCCCCAAGGACACAGAGGCTCAGATGCCCCTGGAACTCACCCCAGCAGCCAACAAGCACAGAGGAAGACAGATTCAGCCTTTAGTGGTCACTGTCTCCTGCAGGGAGCTGACTGTCATCCTGAAAGGGGTTGCCCTTCACGTGGCAGTCGGCAGCAGTAATGGAAAGGATGGTCCTGCAGAAACCAGCCTCTGCCTGCTTCTAGGTAACCAGCAGGACCCTCCTACAGGGGTCCCCAAAGGGTGATGAGGAAGAAGGCCAGGATGGAGGATGGTCCCCTGGAAACTATCAGGAAGCCAGGGTGACATGCAAGTCTTATACAAACAGCAACCCTGCTAAGGGAGAAGGCCGTGGTTTCTTACTTGGAGATTTTTTTTTTCTCAGTGACCTCCAAAGTATCAACTGCAAATTCCCTTGGGGCCACGCAGCAGAGTGGTGCCAGCCCTCAGGGCATCTGTTCTGTGAATCCTGAAAGTTACAGCCTGGCTTTGGGACATGTCAGGAGCTCCATGCTACATTCCAAGTGGGGAAGACCACAGGATGATCGGGAGAGCCCCGAGACAAGGGGATGGGGTGACTCACTCACCTGGGAGCGGCAGAGCCCACAAGAAGACATCTCTCAGGCCCCACCCCATCAGGAAGACTCACTGACTAAAGTCTCTGCACCTTTGACCCTGGGAGGCACAGCTGGGCCACATTCCAAGGCAGCAACGCCAAGATTACACGCTTGGGAGCAGGGTGCAGCCCCCTGGTGGCGCTCTCCCAGTTTCAGGAGGTCCACAGTCAAGACAGGGCATTCCACACCGACCCCCTCCTCTCCTTCCAGGACGAGCCCTCTGAAGAGAGAGGCTTAGGAAACAACGTGGGGCTGGAAGGGGCCACGAGTGAGGGCTAACTGTGCGACCTTGTTCCCAGCCCTACCTGCCTGCTGTCCGCCTACGGGAGTGAGCTCTCAAAATAGACAGACTAACCCTGTCTTCACGTCCTAAGGGTCTGATTCTGGGAGGAGATGGTATTTGCGGTGGGGAGCCACTGAACCTGTTCCCCAAAACCATCAGCACGGCCAAGGGGAGGAGGAGGCAGACTGACTTATGGCTGCTGCATGGAGTCTTCCACACACGGGTTCCAGCCCCTGATCACGTCCTTCAGACCAGACCTGGCTCTGCCCCCATGGAAGGCAGCCTGGAAGGAGGAGGACTGGGAATCCGCTGAGCGTCCAGCCTGAAGACTCGGCTGGTGTGCACTGCATTCTTTGTCAATGCATTTGATGTTCAGCCTTGTCTGAATCAGAGCCCGGGAGACACAGATCAAGCAGGTGGCCACGGAACCCATCTCAGTGCAGCCCTGCATGCCCCAACCCCTTGTGGGACCAGCAAGGAGGGTCAGGGCTTTATAACCTCACAAGCCCTCTGACATTCTAGAAAGGATTCCAGGGGGTGATTCCAAACCTCCTAAACACACACCCCCAAAGCATAAAGTGAATCAATGATGCTTTATTTGATTTCATTTGGTTTGCTGAGACTGGTACTATTCATGTGTGTCATAAATAATAATCTGAAAATCAAGCGCCTTCAGTTTAACCATGAAGCCCTAGCATGCATGCTCGTAGGTGAACTTTTCAAATGAAATTTTAGAGAAAAAATAATCAATGGAAATTCTTGTTTCCAAGATGGATCAAAACCTGGTTTCTGTGTCCAAACCTGCCAAGGCCACTGAACTGGCACCCAGGCTATTGGATCAGGCTGGTGGACACCCTCCATGGTCAATAGTCACCTTCAGGGAAGAGGGGCTTTTATCCCCCTGCCCATCATTTCCGTCCTGGGGAAGAGGGAGATGGGACATGGGAAAGATTCATCTGGAACGATGGGCAGAGCCAAAGCACACGGGACTGAAGCCCCCAGTGCCTCGTGTCCGCGCCACAGTGTGGCTTTTCACAGCCGACGTGGGTCACAACACACAGGGGCAAAGTGGAGACGTGGTCAGCTGACACCAGCTCCTTGGGGACAATTCCTCTCTTTCTTCCTACTTTCCGCGAGTCCTAAGCAATGACCCAAGCAAAGCTTGGGGATTGGGTGGGGAGTGAGGTGGAATGTGTGTTCTGGCTCCATGAGAATCCCCCTGTCCACTCTATTTCCCTCCCTCCTTGTGTCCTCTCCCCACCCACGACCCAACTCCTGCCTCCCACGCACCCCACTCTTGGATTACAGGGCCTTAGCAGGCAAAGGGGAACACCAATACATCATGAGATCCACCAGGAAGCTGGGCAGGTAGCTCATGGGGAGATAGAGCAACTTGGCGTCCCAACCAGCTGAGTATCTGCTGCGGGGATGGCAGGCAGTCAGGGCGTGTTCCATGCAGTCGGTCACCAAGGACAGATTTCCAGCCCACGGCGCCTTCAGAAAATCCGTTGCCTTCATGACTGTCCAGAAGGAGACACCATCCTCGTTATTCTCATTTTCCAGCCCTCCCACTTCCAGATCAACTTGACTTCCCAACAGTTCTGTTCTTTTCCAAAATCATGGTCCATATCATATCAGTATATTTCACTGCAATATGTCCTAGCATTTAGCAAAAATACACTTCCACACTTAGTGCCCTCTAGTACCTTTCCAAGAAATACGTATACTACATACTGGAGGTCTCTACCCACCCTAGAAATAGAGGCACCTGAAAAAAGGTGGTACTAACACGAGATTGCCATGATTCCAGGGGAGTATCCTTCTGTGGCATCAGTCTCCTTTCCAAATTAAAAGGGTTTCCGAAGAGAAGCTGTCCTCTAGATCTACCAAGCCTCGATCCTTCACTTCTATCACCAGTTGACCACAGAGAGACTTGGGAATGAGCTCATATCTCCACTGTGCATGTAACTCAGAGCGTTGAGGTTGGAACTGAGACTGGAGGAGGTACTAATGATGTATTTCTGAATATTTTTCCAAAGCCCACAGCTTACTCACAGTCAGCAAGAAAGTTGTCTCCATAGAGTTCCTGGATCTCTGGGCTGGCACGATCCCATGATGCCTGGACGCTTCCATTAAACACCTCATCTTGGGTCATATTGGTCAGGAAGTAACCAGGCTCAATCATAGCCACCTTCACTCCGAAGTAGCAGAGCTCCCTCCTGTAATGTAGACAGGATGAGGGGCAAGGACTCGAGAGGTTGTGCAAGCAGAACATGAAAGAACCGTCAGACACCAGTACAGGGCTGGGTGAGACGGGCTGGGAGCTCTCAGAAGTTGAGAGGCACAGAAGCCGGAGAGAGAAGCTCATGGTGATGTTCCTGCTTCTCTATAGAGTTTGACCATTTTCCCAATTGTTTTACACCTGTGCCTGTCAGCTCTGCATCCTACCAACTGTGCTTCAGAGCATCACTGAAATGCTGCCTCCTCCTGTTCCTCTCACGCCAACCAGTCACCACGTCTGCACATCCTGTCTTTCCATAGTCCACATCCCCTGTCTCCCCTCTCTCACCCCAGTAACCCCTCTGTCCTCTAAGGAGCATCCCCCTGCCTGTGGACAGAGCTCCCACACATCAGAGACACCCTCAGCCAGATGTCTCCACCACTGATTGAACAAGGTGGCTCCCTTAACTAATTGCTTCAAGGGGTACACTTCCCCCCAGGGCTCCCAGAGCCTAAATACCGCAGCAGCTGAGCACATGGAAGGCCTGCACAGGCAAAACTATCCATTATTGTGCCTCCAATCATTTCTGACCACAGGCCCTCCTGCAAGGCAAGAATAAGTTGAATCAAACTCTACAGGCCTAGGACCAGCTGGGTGTGCGAAACATAGGAAGGGGTTTCCCAGCTTCCCAGTGAAAGACATACACGGAGCGAGGGAGAGGGACCTGGAAGGAAGCGCCACTCGATCTGCAATGGATGAAAATCTCTGCAGAACCTCCGCCCCATTCCCGGCCCCCGCATCCCCCAACCCCGGCTCAGAGCACAGCAGCAGATGAGAAGAAGGGCCTCCCTCCCAGGCCATCACCTGAGGGAGTCCGAGAAGGCCTCCACGCCATACTTGGATATGCTGTAGCCTCCACCGAAGAGCGCCAACCGGCCCATGACGCTGGAGACGTTGACCACACGGCCCCTCGCCTTCCGCACCAGGGGCAGCAGACTCAGGGTCACGTCAATCATCCCCAACAGGTTCACCTCCAGAATCTTCACGAAGTCCTGTTTGGTCAGCCACTGGTTGGGTGCCATGGGTGTGCAAATGCCGGCATTATTCACCAGACCCCAGAGTCCTGGGAAGAGTGAGGACGAGAGGGCAACACTGTGCGGGGCCAGGAGAGAGGACTGGGCCACGGCGCCAAGTCTCCTTCTAACCCGGAAGGACTTTCGGAGAGAGGCTGTGGGGAGGGGCTGGAGCAGAGACAAACATGCTCCTGGGGGTTTTAGGCGGCCAGAACCTGTGAGCAGTAGTAGGCACACGCAGAAGGTGTGCCTTCCTCCCAGCCCGGTCTTCACACCCCACCCACTGCCTGGTACCACAGAACAGGAGCCCCAGAGCTGATGGAGACAGGTATTGAGCTTGGGGAAATCTAGTGGGTCTATAACTTTATAAGTGGGTCTGTAAGTTTATAAGTCTATAAACTTCAAGAGTGAAGTTTTGGGTTTTCACAGTCCATGGTGTCTTTGAAAGTGAAAGTCACAAAGTTGTGTATGACTCTTTGTGACCCCAGGGACGACACAGTCCATGGAATTCTCCAATCCAGAATACTGAGTGGGTAGCCTTTCCCTTCTCCAAGGGATCTTCCCAACCCAGGGATCGAACCCAGGTCTCCCGCATTACAGGCAGATTCTTTACCAACTGAGCTATCAACGGTGTCTTTGCACACTAATAAATATTCCCGGCTTTCAAGATTTTCTGACAGCTTCAGGCCTGAGTGCTCAACAGTTAGTATGAGGAAGAGAGAGGCAACATAGACGGACAATGAGGATGGGTGGGAAAGAGAGGAAGAAAGGAATCAAGAGATGAAGGCAAAATCAAAAAAAGACCATAACCGAGTGTGGATTGGTTGGGTAAAACAGACCTGAGATCTCAGGATTGAGGGAACTTGGTGGCAGACCTGGTATTGGCCTCTAGGGCCTGGGCTTGAAACACCCGCACTTCAGTGCTGAGCAATGTGTCTCAGGAATCTGGAGAATTCCAAGGGCTATTTTGGGGGAGGGCAGGGATGCCTGTCCTTACCCTTGACACCCAGAGCACAGAGTTCACTCCCTACTCCAGAAAACTCCACCTTCTCCTCCCACTCACACAGGAGGCCATCCTGGCCTCATCTTCTTGGTGCAAATTCACCCAGCTTAAAGGAGACCTCTTGCAAGAATCCAAGACACAATCCCAAAAGTTTAAACTAAACCTTTAGCAACCATGGGCCTCATGGCAGCAGTACCGGGCATTCAAGGTTGCTGGGGTAAGGGAACCAGAAGTTCCACACGGAGAGTTGTTCAGCAACATGCTTGACTTGTAGGATGAATACAGTCCAATCATCTTTTATTAAAGACAGTCACCAGACGTGGTTATAGTGTAGGGACTAGGTAGAGGCAAGTTTGCAAGATATCATTTCTGTGGAATATGGTGAATAAAAGACAAGAAATAATTATGTATCATACCATGAAATACTTTTTAGTAAGTGATGATGCTATTTTAAAGTGTAGTATTTTCTCAGTCATAATTTATGATGTTCTTGAAGAAATTTTTATCATGTTCTAAATCTGTGTATTTTCATCTAGTAGAAAGAAAAGGCTAAATGTGTCTAAATATAAAATCATGTATGTCAAAACACTGATAACCCTTCTCTCCGGGTGGTGAGGTTTTTAGAATGTTTGGCAAACACTCTTAGTTTCCACAAAGATCATTCTTTCATCACTTAGGGAAAGAAACTAAAGTTCTCTCCTTCCGCTGCAAAACATAGGCAGATCTGTAGGAATTTAAAAAAAAAAAGCAGTAGAGAAAAGAAGAAAAGCAGAAAAGAGAGAGAGAAAGTGACTCCATAGTAGTTATTTGACGTCCCCTAGGGACGGGGGAACCTGGTGGGCTGCCGTCTACGGGGTCACACAGAGTCGGACACGACTGAAGTGACTTCGCAGCAGCAGCAGCAGACAAGCCCTGAGAACTCAGCATTGTTATTTGAAGACGAGTGACATTTAAAGCCAAGTGGGACGACCATGGGTCAACAACAAGAAGATGGTCAGGTGCTGAGAACACAGCCCAGCTCAAGTGCCGCCCTCAGACACCGCTGCAGCCTTTCAACCAGAGCCCCCACCCCACGCCTCCTGCAGAAAGTCCACCCTGATCACCCTGCTCACTCAGCAGCAAGAAACGCAGACTTACTGCTGAGACAGGAGGGAATACCAGAGAGCGAGTCTGCAAGGACACAGTCTCATCAGGGAGATCTCTCCCCCAAACCTCAAACCTTCAAGGTCCGGAGGTAGGGGTGAGGGCTGGAAGAGGCTCGTCTGGTCAGCTGGGTGAGGTGAAGAAGGCAGGTGGGACTTCACGTCCTGGAAAAACACCTTGGACTCGTCCCAGGGTGCTGACAACAGGTCTTCTCTCACACAGAAAGAAGAAATAAACAAGAAACCCGGGTGTTACCTCGGTCCCCCACACGCTCCTTCACCCACTCGGTGGCCGCAGCGACGCTCTCAGTCTTGGTGACGTCCAGGATCACCGTCTGCAGCCTGTCTGACGTCTGGTTCCTCAGCTGCTCGGCCCCCTGCTCCGTCAGACACCCAGCCAGGACCCGCAAGCCTCGCAGGTCCAGTTGCCTGGCCAGCAGGTTCCCAAAGCCCGAGTCACAGCCCGTGATGAAGACGAACTTGTCCCGGAGGTGGCTCACCACCTGCCTCTCCCGGTACCAGCGCAGGACGTAGAACAGGCCCCCGAGGACCGCCAGGTGCAGCCACATGGCCTTTTACGGGACAGACACACAGGCTGGGGTGAATAGAGTCTGGTCAGTGCTCAGACAGGAGAATTAAGAACATGCACCAGGCTGGTTGGCCTGGAGGCTCAGACTCTCTGGCGTGGACTTCTCAAGACGTTCCTGTTCCCCGTCTGCAGTGAGTATGACTGACTATGATCCCAGGGCTTGCTTTTGGTACTCTCGACCCGCTTCTCATCGATACCATTGCGTTTCCCACACAAAACCTTAAGGATGACAATTCTTTTCCCAGCCTCACTTTCCTGGTCCTCCCACCCCTCCCTGTTTCCCTCTGCCCACCTCTCCCTCAATCCTCACACACCCACACACACATTAGACGTTCTGCATCCCAGATTTCATGGTTCACAACCAAATTGTTCCCTTTTTCTTACTGAAGCCTGTGACCTGGGTCCCCCAGGCTATTTTACATTACAGGAGGCTTTTTCTAATGAAGAGTCGTATGATGGGACACACTTGGAATCAAGACACACGTGACTTCAAAGCCCAGGTCTGCCGCCAACTAGCTGTGTTAACACTGGGCTGCTGGCTCGGCCTCTGACCGGGCTTCCTCTCTGGCTCAGCTCGCAGAAGTCCCTCCTGAGAGACTAAGTCCCCCCAGCCTCTCTACGATCAGAAGGAGAAGGCAAAAGGGAATAAGGTCTCTCCTGATACAGTGGCTCTCTGGACCAGAAAGGTGTTCAGAAGAGCAGTGGGGGTGTCTGAGGCAAAGAGAGGGGACACGAAGGGAATGAGGGGACACGGGCGATGGTGAGACTCTCCCAGATGCTGGGACGGGGTTGGAAGGACTCACTCAAGCTGCTCTAAGAGGTGTTCCCCGCCAGTTGGTGCCCTGGGCATCTCCCCACCACCCACGTTTATCACAGCTTTGACAACGAAACAGATGCCCCCGGACCCCATCCCAGCAGCCAGGAAACACAGAGAGAAGGACAGATTCAGCCTCTAGTGGTCGCTGCCACCTGCAGGGTGCTGACTGCCTCCTGAAGGGAGTTGTCCCTCCGGTGGGAGTCGGCAGCGGTAATGGAAAGGATGGCCCTGCAGAAAGCAGCCTCTGCCTGCTTCCTGGGTGACCAGCAGGACCCTCCTACAGGGGCTCCCCAAAGAGTGAGGAAGGAGAAGGCCAGGATGGAGGACGGTGCCCTGGAAACCGTCAGGAAGCCAGGGGGACATGCAAGTCTTACACACACTAACCCTGCTAAGGGCGAAGGTGGTAGTTTCTTTACTTGGAAGAAAAAGGAGATTTTTTTTCTCTGACCATGAATTCCTTCACCATAAATTCCCATGGGTCCATGCAACAGCCCCATCCCAGTCCTCACACCATCATCTTCCCTTTTCCATATGAAAGTCATATGATGACTTGTGGGGTTTCAGGAGCTTCAAACTCCTGTTCCAGGTGGGTACAATGACAGGCAGGTCGGGAGAGAGCAGTAAGAGGCAGGAGCTGGGGTGACACTCACCTGGGATCTGCAGGGGCCAGGACAAGAAATCTCTGAGGCAGTTCTGTTAGGGAGACTCACTGACAAAAATCTCTGCATCTTATGTCCTCGGAGGGGTAGTTGGGCCAGATTCCAGGGCCGAACCTCTGACCCACATGTAACCCGGTGCTGACGCACGTACCCCTTGGCGTAGCCCCAGAGCATCTCAGGAGGGACCACTGTCAAGCTAAGGCCACCCCCCACCCACGGCCTGTTCTACATGCGGGCCAGGTCCTCTGAGCCGGTGGAGGTGGAGGGGGCAAGTGGAGGAGCAGGAAGTGGTAGGGAGTGAGGGCAGACTGTGCAAGCGTATTCCCAGCCCCGCTGTCTGAAGTGGAGACTCTAAAATGAGGAGACAGGTCAGTGTGTTTCGGTGATTGGAGGGGTTGGGGAGTCAGTGACCCCATGCAACTCACAGAAGCCCAGGGAAAGAGTGACAGCACCTTCCCTCTGGCACTCCTGTGGATCTTCATAGCATGGGTTCCTGCCCTTGCATATGTCCATCAGACCAGACCCGGTTCCCTCCTCAAGGAAGGCGGCCTGGAAAAAGGAGGAAAGGGGCTCTGCTGAGGGCCCAGGCTGAGAATGTGACCTGGTATGCACTGCAGTTTTTTTCCAATGCATTTGTTCTTCTGCCTTGCCTGTGAGTCACAGTCCCCAGAGTTGGCCATGGAACTTATATCAATGCAGCCCTGCATCCCTCAGCCCCTTGTAGGACCAGCAAGGAGGGTCAGGGTTTGTAACCTCACAGGTCCTCTGACATTCTGTAGAGGATTGCTGGAGATGAGTCCAGGCCTCCTGAATACAAACCCTCAGGGCATAAAGTGAATCAGTGATGCTTGACTTGATTTCAGTTGGTTTGGTAGGTCTGGCAGTGTGTATGTGTGTAAATAAATATATGAAAATCTGGGGTCTTCAGATCAAGCAAGAAGCTCTAGGTTTGTATTGAGGAGGAGAACATGGATCGACCTTGGGGGGTTGGCACACTATAGCCTGAAGGATTCAGAGATCCTTGAGGATCCTCCTGGTCACGTTCTTCTCTTCAGCAGTCCCCTCTCTTGACACCAAAACATTAAAACAGGTTTGAGTTTCAGGG